AGAGACTGCGTCTTCAGGATTCCTGACCTTCACTTCAGGAATTTCACTTGCAGGGAAATCTTGACCTTTTCCTCAGAGTTTTGAAAGTAACGGTACCATGAACTTAAAAATTACTCATCATTGTGGAGCACCCGTTTTCCACTCCTTTACCTTTGAGGGAGCTTCTGTCATGTTTCAGGGGACATGTAGAGGGATTTGCTTCTTGTCCCAGCTTGAGCTGTGGATCCTGGGTCAGGGGCCTTCACAACCACACTCCAGTATCCTCGCAGCCAAGGAGACAAGCTTGCAAGGCTGTGGGAGCGGCCTTCTGCCACTCCCTGAACTGAGTCCAAGAGAGGGAGCAAACAGAACTGTCCCCGAAATGTCCAGAAATGATTGGCTCTGCGGGGTGTTTTTTAGCTCGTGTCAGGCCCTTTCCCTGTCACCAGGGCCTGCTTTCTCCTATCCTCTCCTTGCCTGGAATCAGCGGGCTGCAGTCTGCTCCCAGCCCTGGACTTCCCGCAGAGCACACCGTCTTTGGGGCGGGAGGTGGACATCCTGAAATGCCCACTCTTCTCTCCCCCAACCATAGGCAGAGCTCTGGCTCCAGAGGGCTGTATGGGCTCTCCCCTTAGCAGTGTCCCCGTCCTCTGCTTGCAGGTCATCGTGATGTCAGGCCACGAGACCATCCGAGTGCTGGAGGTTGGAGTGGATGCCCAGGTCCCTGCTGAGGAGGAGGGCAAAGTGCTGGAGGGTGTGGCCGCCGAGGGCTCCCAGAGCGGAGGCCCTGAGGAAGCCGGGGAAACCGCGGGTGAAGCCGGGCCAGACAACCCAGACTCCTCCACAGAGGCAACTGGTACAAGGCCACTGCTCCCACCCGACATGGCTCCCCTTGAGTCCCTTCCTGTGTTCCTCGTGCCAGCATGAGCCCCAGGGGTTCAGATGGCTTTAGGGCCTTGTCTTCCTGTCCACTGGACAGCCTCTGGCCACAGGCCGTGCTCCTGGGGCTAGCTGCACTCCTCATCCCTGGCACTTTAGTTCTGGTTTCAGTCACTTAGAGACCTAAACTGGGATGGTCAGGGTGAGGTGGGAGGTGGGTGCTCAGCCGTGGGGATTGAATTAAGCTCAGAGAGGTCTCCTAGGTCTAAACTAGACCCTCAGGCCCAATGCAAAGAGGACTAAACCTTCAGGATCCTACTAACCCTTCTAAATCAGTACCTTTTGTGGTAGAGCTGGGAGGTCCCAGGAGTTGGGGATGGGAGGGCATCTTGGACTAGCATGTATGTCAGGAAGGGCCTTGTAGAATCCCAGCTCCTTACTCCCAGCTGAGCTAGCACGAGTCCAGCCTGGTGGACTTCTTTGTGCAAAGATGATTTTTGGGTGTAAAATTGATTCTCCTGCATGGGGGATGGATATGGCCGATGGACTCACGCTGTCTCCACTAATGACCCTGCAGTACAGCTGTGAGAGAGCCAGGGCTATTCTAGAAGCTGGCACAGGTACTGGGTACTGCTCTCTGGACACAGGGAACCCTTTCATTGACTTTCCTCATTAACACCTTGCAGAATAGACATCTCCTGGGACTGCCCTTGCCAATTCCCCAGGAGAGCCCTGATTCATCTCCCCTTGCCTTCTGCTGTACTTCGCCCCTTCTCTAGATTGGAGATCTTGTGGGGGGAGTTGGGTAAGAGGAGGATCCAAGAAGAGAGCAAGGAGAACAGGCGACTCCTTAACGAAACATCTGCAAGATCTCACCTCCCCTGCTCTACTTGCAAATCAGTCTGCAGGCTCATTTGGGACCCCAGTAACCTGGATTATTTTTCTCCTTTTGAGTAAAGGAGTGACAAGAGACACAGCCATTTCCCCTGGAAGTGTTCTGCTTCCATGAGCATTTGCAGGATGAGTCAGCACCTGTTCCCATGGGCCAGTGCCTGGAGGGCAGGCAGGCGCAGGCAGGCAAGAGAAGGACTCTCCGTCTCAGCCACCCTTTCCATTCCTGCCCATTGTGGGGAGGGAGCCTCTTTTCAGAATATTTAGGCAATTTCCCAGGTTATCTCCAGTGCCCCAGCTTCCCTTTTGACCCTTTTATCCGTCTTCTGTATCTCATTTCTTCTGGTGCCTTAATTCTGCTCCTTATCCTACACGTAAGCATGGGTGTTCATGGCAGTGTGCATCTTCTTCCAGAGGTTTGTATACTTAAACCTTTCCCGAAAGCCTTCTTTGTAGAGGAATTTTAGTCATTGTCAAGAAGGTAAGGGCGGGATTTTGATGGTACCTCCTAAGAAGCTGCCAGCTTAAATTGTGGCTTTGATGGAACATTTCTGGGTATGTAATACTGAGAAGTGTTTCCTCTTAAAACAAAACTAAATAATAGGACACTTTTTCAGGATGAAAAAATAATCTAGTGATTTGTGTCACTCTAAGTTATTACCTAGACCTTGTCACACATACGTATTTTTATAGGTGTGGCCACTGAGGGCAGACTATGTAATATGACACTTACCACTGTATTATTTCATATTCCATGTCCTTTGTTGACAGATTCACCCACCTGATTCTGGTTTTGGCTGTTATCAAACTATCAAGTTTTTCATTGTCATAAACAGTGCTGCTTTGAATGGCCCTTTAATTTTTTTTTCTTTGAAGTGTGGTCCACTCAAATTCCTTTTGAAGAGAAATCAGTGACATAGGAGGAAGTCATCACATGGAAAAATACAAAATCTTGCCATCAATGAGAGGAAAAATAACTGGCTGTAAGGTACCACATGTGCCTGTTAAGCCCGAAAAAGTAAATAAATAGCGATAAAACCTAAATTGGGGGAGGGTATAGCTCAAGTGGTTGAGTGCATGCTTAGCATGCACGAGGTCCCGGGTTCAATCCCCAGTGCCTCCTCCAAATACAAATAAATGAATAAACCTAATTACCTCCCCCTCATAAAAATAAAGAAACCTAAATTGGGTGGCAGTGTGGAGGAACAGGTGCATTGCTGATGGTTCTGTAAATTGGTTCAGTCTTACTGAAAAGCAGTCTAGCAGGAGGCTGCAACAGCCCTAAATGTATGCAAACCTTTAGACCCCCATGGTTCTACATTGGAAATACATCCTAATAAAATGACTCATTTCTTCAGGTGTAAGCTTCCATCACATTCCCATTTCCTCACCTTCCTTTTTAGGTTTCATTACATTTTGTCAAGCAAAATGTTTTTCAAATTTTCAAAGGTTTAGATTATCCTTATCTTCTCTGATTTTTTTCAGTAGTTAGACATGCATCTTCCCTTCACAATGGAGATGAACCTGCCATTTTGTTTTCTTTAGTATTTTATAAGGCTTTTGTGATTGCTTGTTTGTTTCTCTCATTCCTTAAACAATCTGAATTTTTAAGTTATGTACTGTGAACAGTCTAGTCCTGACTTAAGTTGGTACCTTTCCATATTAAAACATGGTCTGGGGAGTGCGGGGTTTGAAGGTTTTCCAGTTCAGTGGTTCCCACCTGGTCTGTGTGCTGTATCTCAAGGGAGCTTAAAAGAACAAGGAGGGATGCGAGGTTCCTGGCCTCTGTTCCTGGACATTCTGACTCAGTAGGCCTGGACTAGGCCCTGGAAACCTATGCCCAGCCAGCATGAAGAAGCCACTGACTTGGTCCAGCACCCAACACCTAGACTGCCTTTAATGTCTCACCATATGTTAAATAATAACCCCTTTCTGCATTGTTGTGTGGCTTTGAAGACATTTCCTGGTAGGAGGTCCCAATACCTAACTAAATCAAGGGAACAAGAAGAAGCTCTCACCTGGGTGAAAATCTCCAGTTCCTGGGAAGTTCCTTTAGAAGCTCCTAGAAGCTGCTCATCCAGACTTCAGCTCTCAGGGGATGGCAGAGAAAAGCTGCCTGGCCTGGAGAATCCCTGTGACCCTGAGTGTGGCCAACACATGTCCAGTTTTCAGGGACTGCTACTTCCAAGACTTCACCCTGCAGGAATCCTGGTCCCTTCCCCAGGCCAGCATCTGCATCCAAAAAGTAGCTTGAAGGTAGGGTGAACAACGATGCAGTTGCTGGATGAGCCAATTGATTGGATGAGCCAATCCCATTGATTCTAGCTGCTTCTCTCCCCACACATGTTCATTTCTACTGCTGATGTGTTAGGTCCTGGGGTCCTAGAGAGCCAGGAGATGAGAGACTGATACCCGAGTGTGCCTGGGCCTGCATTTTCTTTACCCAGATGTGGGAAGAGGGTGACCTACCTTCCAGGCCCGGCACAGGGTTCTCCAGCCTCTTATTCTCACAACCAGTAACTTTTGGGAAGCTGCCTCTTCCGGCCATGGAAGGCCAGCAGTTGGTCTCAGGTTATGCAGAAATACACTGTGGGGCCGAGAGTTATCACTTCAAGCTGCAGACAAGACCCCTCCACTCACACCAGGCTCTCTCCTTGTCCTGCTTTCTCCCAATGCCACGTGAAGTGAAGTCACTCCCCGGGATGCCTCCGAGCCCTGCCCCTGCGGTTGCCACCTTCAGCCAAGCTCCATGCCAGCCTCAGGCATCGCAGACCCTAACGCCACTGGCTGTACAAGCTGCCCCCCAGGTAAGGGCCGCCCCAGGGAGCTGGACAGAGGGCAGTGGGCAGGAGAAAGGCATGGGACGGCCACCATGGGCTGGCCATGGGATCTGGGGACTTCATAAGGCAGGACAGGGAAGGGGCTGTGGCTTGAGGTGGGGAATCTCCTACTAGGCACCCTTGGCCTCTCCTCTGCCCCAGATCAGGCCCACTGGGAAAGCAGATCTGCATTTGCCAGGTGATCTCCTGGGTCCAGCAGGGATTATAGAGATTACCTGAACTCTGTCAAGCCATCTAATGACTATGGATGAATACCCTCATCAGCCCCTCTAGGGATCCCTGGAGGAGTTCATGGATTGTTCAGTCCTCATTTAGATCTGGGGGCAGCCCCAGTGCAGTGAGAAGCTGCCTCCAGGATCCTCCAGGCATGCTAAGCTCCCTGTGACCCTTCACCCCATGCACAGACCTCCAAAGCCATCAAGACCATCAAGAGTATCCTCCATCAGAGCTCCTCAGAGGCCTCTGTGGGTCTTAACCACTTGGTTCCACCAGCCCCATCCCCTCCTTCCTGGCCACAAAGCGTTGGTCCTGTGGACAAGGGCCCAGGGAAGGCTTGGGAGGCAACAGACTGGTGGAAGAGGCCTGTGCATCCTTTCCTGTCCTTGAGCAGGGCTGGACCCTGTCCCTGACTTGGGCTGCTTCTTGGAAGGCAGGCTAGTCCAGTCCAGGTGCCCCCTTGGGGTTGGGCCTCCAGCTAGGGCTTGTCTCCCTCCTGCCCTCATGCAGCCTTCTCCCACTGCCCTCAGAATGCTTTGTGTGTGCTCAGCTGGGTCTGAGAGACCCGGTGTTTGCGCTGTCGATGTTGATTTTTTATTTTTTCTTTTCTTTTTGAAATCTTGTTTGCCTTTGCAGGTCTTGACTCAGGAAAACTTAGCCACAGTTCTGACAGGAGTTATGGTTCCAGCAGGGGCAGTTACTCAACCTCTTCTTATCCCCATCAGTATTGCAGGTCAAGTGGCTGGGCAGCAGGGGCTGGCCGTGTGGACAATTCCTACAGCAACCGTGGCTGCCCTCCCAGGACTGACCGCTGCTTCTCCCACGGGGGGAATTTTCAAGCCACCTTTAGCCGGTCTCCAAGGTAACAGCAACTCTCCCCAGGACTGCACCAGGCCCCCCACCACCCTACACTACCATCCCTGCACGTGTGCTTGCCATGTTGGACTCAAAAACCCGCGGCCCTCTCAGGGCGACAGCCCTGGCGTCTGGATCTGGTGTCCCAGGCACCCAGCCACAGAGCTGCTGCACCACCTCGGGACTCTAGGCCATGACACCATGCTGGCCCAGCTGGCCTCTCTTCCTTCAGCCAACTGTCTGAGACTGCCCCTCTCTCCCTACGCCAGAACTCACCCCATGACCAGCCTCCTGAGAAGGACTGCAAGAAGATTCAACTTCTGGTTTTGAACCTACACAGCTCCAGGCCCAAGGGAGGGGGGATGAGAGATGTTGGCATGTTTCGTCCCTGCAAGGATCAAGGGAACCACAGCTGCCTGTCCCCCCACCCCACTGCCCCAACCCCTCTCTCGTTCTTGTGCCAGATCCCTTGGGATTGGAGCCGCCCTGGGCTGCAGCTAGGCATTTGAGCACTTCTGTCTCTGCCTTGCTCCGTAGCAGCTGCCGTGCTGAACGCCACTCTCCCGGCACCCGTCCAAGCTGCCCCACCGACACAGGCCTCCTCGCCCGCCCAGCCCCGACCACCAGCCCAGCCGCAGACGTTGTTCCAGACCCAGCCGCTGCTGCAGACCACACCTGCCATTCTACCGCAGCCCACTGCTGCCACCGCTACTGCCCCCACCCCCAAGCCAGTGGACACCCCCCCACAGATCACCGTCCAGCCTGCAGGCTTCGCATTTAGCCCGGGAATCGTAAGCTGCCGCCCTCACCCAGGGCTGACCAGGGATGGACCGAATCCCCGGCCAAGGGTGGACCTGACCTTCCCGCAGGGGAGGACGGAGGTGGAGGACCAGCCCCCTGAATACGGCTCTTTTCCAACACTTCAGCAGAGATGGGCTCCTTCTGAGGCCTTCTCCCTGCAGCTGCCAGCCTGTCCGTCCCAGACAAGCAGACAACCTCTGCCAAGAGGGCTGGGCAAATCCTCCAGAACCTGAACCACCTGGACCAGCCTTGGAGGGTGGGATGAAGTCTGGGGATTGCGACTTCGTGAGCTGTCGCTAAGGTGGAGTTAGAGGCTCACAGCCCCATGCGTGTCTATCTAGTGCGGCTCCTGGCTTGGCAGTGGAGCTGTTAGTTGTGACCGGTCACATCTAGTTAGATGTGGCTAGAGTCACTCAGCCTCTCCAGTCTGGCCCTTCTACTCTCTCAGGCCTAGCCTGAAAGGTTAGCCAGGGTTCCTCCTCCAGGACTGTGGCCCCACCCTTCCCTGCTGTCCCATCAGCCCCTGGCCCCAGACACTATTCAGCTGGTGGACCTGGGCCTGCAGCCCACATTCACATCTGCCAGCAGCAGTACCTCCCACCCCGATACCCTCAGCCCTCTTCCCTCTGCCTTGGGCTCTTTCTCGCCCCTTGGCCTCTGAGCAAGGCTCTTCCTCCACCCACAGATCAGTGCTGCTTCCCTCGGGGGACAGACCCAGATCCTGGGCTCCCTCACTACAACTCCGGTCATTGCCAACGCCATTCCCAGCATGCCAGGGATCAGCAGTCAGATCCTCACCAACGCTCAGGGACAGGCAAGTGGTCAAAGCCAGGCTGAGGGGTCGGGACTGTGGAGACACTGGCTGGGGGGAGGGGCAGGACTTGGACTGAGAGTCAGAGAAACTCAAACAGGGTGTTGAGCTGCTGTTCGTACCTCCTGTATGACAGCTCTCTGCTGATGCGGAGGCCGGGCAGGGGCGGAGCCACCGCCCAGCCCGGGGCGGTGCTCACTCTCCTTGGCGGTTCTCATCTACTGAGCACTCACTTTGTGTCCAGACTGTGCTGGGTGCTTTCTCATACATTAGCTCACTTTGTTTTGAGTACACACCTATCAGGTGGAGATTTTTATTCCATTTTACAGAGGAGAAGGCTGAGGTTCAGAAAAATTAGGCCACACAGTTAAAATGTGGCAGAGCAGGGATTCATTCACATCCAGGTCTGTCTGAATCCACATGCAGACCTTTTCCTGCTCCACCACCGCCCTGGAGATAGAATAAAAGAAGCAGCCTCTAGCGTGTGAATATTTCACTTTATTGGTGAGGAAACTGAGGCCCAGGGGGTTAAGTGATGTGTCTAATTCCCTCCCCTGCCAGTGTGGAGGTTTGGGTTGGGGGTGGAGTTGGACGCTGCCCTCACACTTGGGGTCCCTGTGCTTCCTCCCAGGTTATTGGAACACTTCCGTGGGTAGTGAACTCGGCTAGCGTGGCGGCCCCAGCACCAGCCCAAAGCCTGCAGGTCCAGGCCGTGACCCCCCAGCTGTTGTTGAACGCCCAGGGCCAGGTGATTGCGACCCTGGCCAGCAGTCCCCTGCCTCCGCCTGTGGCTGTCCGGAAGCCAAGCACTCCTGAGTCCCCTGCTAAGAGTGAGGTACAAGGACTGGGTTGGGGGATGGGGGCAGGCAGTGCTATCTGGCCTGGGTGGCCTCCCTCCAGACTGTGGGCAGGACAGCATTATTCTCTGAAGCCACTGGGAAAGCAGGGCCCCTCCTCAAAGTGGGGGGAGGTTCCAGGGTAGAAGGCCCACATGGGTCCACAGATGCTCTGCCCAGGAAAACAGCACCCCCACCCCCACCTACACACACCAAACATGTAGATGTTCCCTCAGAGGCCAGTGAGACTTTGAGAAGCCCAGGGAGAAGTGGTCAAAGTAAGCTGGGCCTCAGTCAGCTCCAGGGGGAACAAATGGCTGGAAAAGCCCTGGAGGTTCATTCTGCGGCCCCTTCTTCTTCCCCTCTTCATCCTTCCAGCCCTACTCGGTACTATGGCTTTGATCATTCATTTATGTGTTCCCTCTAGGAGCAGGTTTTGAGTGCCTACTAAATTCCAGGTGCTGCAGATAGATGCATGTGGTAGCCTCAGGTAGGCCAGCGTCGGAGACAGTTGCAGGTCAGCGTGACAAAGGCCGTGATAGGGGCATGGCAGGGTGCTTTGGCAACCCAGAGAAGGGAGCTCTCAGCAGACTGGGGAGCTCAGCAAGGCTTCAAGGAGGAGGGACATTGAACTAATCTAAAGGGATGCATTGGATGAGAGAGTATTCTACCTTTGCAAAATTGCAGGAAATACAGTGTGTCAGAGCAGAGGTTCTCAAACTTCAGTGTGCCACAGAACCAGGAGGCCTTGTTGGAGTACAGGTTCCCGGGCCACCTCCAGAGTCTCTGATTTAGTAGGTCTGGAGTGAGGCCCAAGAATCACATGTCTAACCAGTTCCTAGGTGATGTTGAGGCCCATGGTCCTCACATGTGGCATGCTGCTTCCCAGCTTCACTGAGTAACCTCTTTGCCTCATCTTTAACGGAGATCATAAGAGTATCAACTTCAGAAGGTTATGAATGTTGAAGAGTTATATTACACACAATGCAATTAACACCCTGGTACACAGAGAGCACCTGGAAAACGATGCTTTTACTGTTATCACTAGTATTAGGTAGGGGGAGTCATGGAAGGGTTTTTAGCAGGGAAGCAGCTGATTAGATTTGCATTAAAAGAACTCCCTCTGTTATCCTGGTCAAATCAAGCATTGGACTGTGGTGAGACTTGAGTCATTGTCCTTATTAGGACACAGCTTAAACAATCACAGCCAGAGACAAGGAGCTCTGAACTGAGGCCAAAGCCCGGGGGTGACAAGGGACTGACTTGAAGCTGCCAGGAGGTGGAATCTGGGGAGCACAACCCATTGTGCAGAAATTTGCACTTTTCAGGGAGCTTTAAAGAAAAATCTTACTAAAAATGCTAATTTCACATATTTACAGTTTCTCCTGATTATAAATATGATACATGGTATTTATAAAAATTCCTACATTATGTGTGATGCCAAAAAGTAAAAAAATCTCTTTTAACTCCACTTCCAGGGATGACTTCTATTGACAGCTTGCTTTATATGCCTCAAAATTTTTTTCCCTGAAAATTCATATGTCTTTTCTAAAGGAATTATTCCATAAAAATTGTTTTTCACCTTACATATATATTTTCACTTAGCACTGTGACTCAGGTTTCTTTCCATGGCAGTAGTTAAAAGATATACCTTATTCTTTTTAATGGCTGCACAGTATCCCAATATAGGGAGGTCTCAGAAGTCATTATTAATGGACCTTTGGGGCATGGAGGCTTTAGAATCAGGTTTAGGTTTCTCCTTTGAGGGCAGAGATTTGATAGCGGTTATCTTAAGAGTGAACACCTGTTGGGGCTTTGACCCAATGTGTTGTACCTTTCTGAGCCTCTGACCTGCCCATGTGGTAGGTGGCTATAAGACTGTGGCCTAGGGGGCATGTTCTATGCTTATTTTAGAGGTCATTATCATTGGGTGGGTGCTAATGCATAGCCTCTGGTGTTGCTTTTGATGGAGCACAGATAGGAGTGTGCTGGATGAGTGAGGATTTCATGCCCACTTTTGCCCTGCCTCTGGTCCACCCAGAGGCTCCAATCCCCTGAGCCAGGCAGGCAGGCAATACAGTTTATTGGCTTTCTTCTCATAGGTGCAGCCCATCCAGCCCACGCCAGCCGTGCCCCAGCCTGCTGTGGTCATCGCCAGCCCAGCCCCAGCGGCCAAGCCATCTGCCTCTGCTCCCATCCCAATCACCTGCTCAGAGACCCCTACTGTCAGCCAGTTGGTGTCCAGTAAGTGGCTCCTGGAGAAGGTTGTGGAGAAGTGGAGAGGCATTTATTCAGATACCCCCACCTCATCAGATGCTGTTCTCCTTAATAGACTTCCTAGAGTCCTAGGGGAAGGGCAGAGGCCCATTGCCAGGAATTGACTTCCTTATTCTCATTCCTGTGGAGCTGGATTCTGTGTATGACAATGGTAGAGGCTGCTTAGCCAGCTGTCTGGCTGCTTTTCTGAGAAACCAGGCCATTGGCTGTCTCTCCTTTGGTCTCTCACCCAGTATTTGAAGAATGTGGATGGCCAACAGGTGTGCCTGGGGCCAGGCGTGGGGAGGATGGGGGAGGGCAACAGTTAGAGCTGGAAGAACTTGAAAGTAGACCTCTGTCTCTAGATACACTAGTCCCTGGCCCCTTTCCCCTGAGTCTTATTTGTCTTGCGGACGGGAGTGATGAACATCTTAAAGGAGCACAGGCTTTGTGCCAAATGTCCTTGTCCCTCACTACTGCACCAGGTTAGGTAAGCAGTGATGATGAGCTGTCTTACACGCTCACCTCTGCCCCCTTCCTCTGGCCTAGAGCCTCATACCCCAAGTCTGGATGAGGATGGCATCAACTTAGAGGAGATCCGGGAGTTCGCCAAGAACTTTAAGATCCGGCGGCTATCCCTGGGCCTCACGCAGACCCAGGTGGGTCAGGCTCTGACCGCGACAGAAGGCCCAGCCTACAGCCAGTCAGCCATCTGCCGGTGAGTGAGGCTGCCCTGGCCAAGGTCAGGGCGCTCATAGGGACCCAGGTATATGGCCTCTTTCCATATTCTCTCTTGTTCCTGCCTTCTCCCAGACAAGGAAGGATAGCCATGAACACCCGGAGTAGCCAAAGTCTTTCTGAGAGCCCTGTGAAGTTTATCCTCCAATCCTGAGCATTTATGTCATCTTTTTTGATAACCCAGGATCCTAATCCATTTAGGAATCGTAGAGGGAAAAGAGTACAGCTTAGGAAATTAGTCACGGAAGTGGGAACTTCAATTCTGGCTTGGTTCTCAGCTGTAACACACCATCACCCACATCGGGCTCCCATCTCCCCCTTGTAGGAGGCATAACTATAAAGTGATGGAGCTGATTTTTCTGTGTGCGGATACTGGTTCTGGTGCCAATATCAAAGGAGGGGTAGCAACGGGTTTCAAAAAAGAAAAAGCACATGGATCTGGGATGGCCGAACAGTTTCATCTGCCTGCCAACTCTTTAGATGAGACTAGAGTGACTGTTAGACTACAGTGCCCAGTTGGAAATTCTGTGGTCAATCTGAGCTCAGCCAGAAAGAGTAGTCTGACTTAGGGCTGCTGCGGTTGGAGGAGGACAGCACTTCTGACATTTATTTGCCATTTCTGGAGGCCTTTTGAGATGACTCCTCAAAGGACCTCACTCATGTGGGTGTGAAAGTTCTGGAGTGTGTTCATAAAGCAGTTGCACTGTTATCATTGCATTACTGAACTGAGGCCAGGGGAGTGGCCTCCTGTTAGGACCTGGGATACAGGACAGTCTGAGGAGTCTGGGCTTGGCCCAGGAAGGGGTTCTGGGCCGGGGTGGTGAGGGGAGCACTGAGTACAGCCTCACCAGCCCTGAGAGGAGCAGCCCCTTGCGGACAGCGTTCACGTCCAGCGTGGGGAGTAAGACCCTCTCACTGTCCCCTCCTGGGCTTGGGTCGCCTACAGGTTCGAGAAGCTGGACATCACGCCCAAGAGCGCCCAGAAGCTGAAGCCAGTACTGGAGAAGTGGCTGAACGAAGCCGAACTCCGGAACCAGGAAGGCCAGCAGAACCTGATGGAGTTTGTGGGAGGCGAGCCATCCAAGAAACGCAAGCGCCGCACCTCCTTTACCCCCCAGGCCATAGAGGCTCTCAATGCCTACTTCGAGAAGAACCCGCTGCCCACAGGCCAGGAGATCACCGAGATTGCTAAGGAGCTCAACTATGACCGGGAGGTCGTGCGGGTCTGGTTCTGCAACCGGCGCCAGACCCTCAAGAACACCAGCAAGCTGAACGTCTTTCAGATCCCTTAGGGCTCAGCCCCCAGCCCCGGGTCCCAGCACTTTGTACCTTCCCTTGGCGTCCAGCTGCTGCCCCGGTCCTTCTGCCACGTGCGGCTGTGTTCGTCCTGGGTTGGGAGACTCCACTGCGTGCATGTGCGTCCGCTGCCTCCCCGCTCTCCCCATACAGTGCACATCCTGGGGAGGGTGGCGGGGCCCACGGAGACCTCCAGACTTGGGAGTGGTCACGCCAAGGGAGGGGATTTGTGGTGTCACTTAAAGAAGCACTTTGCTAACGTGGTTTTCGAAGGGTGAATTCTGGTTAGGAATCAGAAACTCCCTGTCTTTGGGGCAGGGCTGCAGCAGCCTTGAGGCTCGCTGGCCTTTAGCTGTTGTTTTTCATGGCATTCTTTTTCCACTCTCTCTCCTCCTTTGCTCCTCTGTGTGAGTGTGGCAGGTACGGCAGCTCGTCCAGTGGAAACACAGCCTCACCCACCCACACTTTGCCTGCAGGCACACTGTCCCCCGAGGGAACCCAAGAGATACAGTTCTGAAAAGTGTGATGTGCTGCTCAGAGGGTCAGACTGAGTGTCTGCCTTGACCTCAAGGTCAGAAGGTTCCCACAGCCCTGGGGCCAGAACATGTGATGTCCTCTCCCTCCTTTCCTTGATTCCTTTGTGGGGAAAATTGCACTAAAGCAGAACCTTTTCTTTTGTAATCCATGTTGGAAGGAAGCAACAATGAACTCTAGCTGTCCTGGAGTTGACCTGGGTCTACAGCAGGTTGGGAACTTAAAAAATAAAGTCGTCCTCCCAGATTTTAATCTGATCCCTGCCCATGGCTATCTCCGCATCAGAGCGGTGTGGTTAAGAGAACTTGCAGCCTGGAAAATCCCCCTGCCCAAGTAAACAGGCAAGTGGGAGAAAAATGAGGAAAGGAATGCTGACTCTTTCTCTGTCCTCATACTCACCCACAACCCAGTACTGGGGCCTTCTCAAAAGCAGCAAATTAAACAAGAAGCCAGACAGCAAGGCCCTGGGGAAAAGCCAACATCCAGAAAGAGCTGATGGCAGCCCAGGATGGTCTCTTTGTGGAAGGTGACTTAAGTCTAATTTTCTCTGTAACTTGAAGTCTTGGATACTGAAGGAGAAATCTTATTTTGTCCCGAGTCTTAGACCCTGTGTTTGTGTAAGCAATCCACCCAGTGCTCTTCTGAGTTAAGAACATCCCTGGAGCAGGCTGGGTTTTGCCTTCAGAGAGGGTAGCTATGGTACATTGGGAGTTGGCCTCTCCGAGCTGTTAAGTGAGTTTCCCAGCCTCGTGGTGGCTGGACAGTCTCTGGAACTCAGCATGTGCCTCCAGGAGGTCAGGACAGCACTGAGAGGGTGGCTGGGCTGAGCCCAGACCTGCCATGTAGATTATACTTAAAGGGCCACAAGTCACAGGGGTCAGCCACCCCCTCTCTTCCCAACTCTTACTCTTACAGAGCCAGGTGTCCAGCAGCTGCCCTCCACTGCACCTCACAGATAAACCCTGAAGAAGTGACAGCCCGGCGGGGGCACATCGCCACCTCTGTCGCTCCCTGGTGCAGAGCCTGGTCTAGCTGTGTTTCCTTTCCTGCCTGCAGCTGGTCCCGCCCAGGCCATGCAACACCAGTGTGGCCACCCTCCTGGTAGCCCTGCCAGTGAGAAGGCAGCTGTGTGTCAGATTGCCACACGCACACGCACACATGGGTGAGGAAGCAGGTGGGCACCTCGCCTGCCTCAGCCTCCCAGGAGACAATGTGGAGGTTTCACACTCAAGTTCATTCTCAGTAAGATGATGAGCTCACTTGAGAGGGATGTTGTAAACAAGTTTTCAGTAAGAATAGTTCGAGGACCAGAGTTTGTAAAGGATTCAATGACTCAGTTCAACTAATTAGAGAGACAAGTTTTTACCTTCAAACCCTTGTGTTCAGGTATGTTG